TGCTGAGCTTTGCAACTGACAGCCTTGCAACGGATCCTGTAAACAAACACCAATGTTATGGCTTGGAGTATCTCCACTGCTTCCCATCTCTGTTTTCCCCCATAGCATTTATGTCTCCCAAAGATTACGTCTATTCATTGGTTACACACTGGAATGTATACTTTCTTGAAGGCGTTCCATTCCTTTCTATATGGCCTTCACACTTAAGCCCAACACGTACCAGTAGCTTCATAGCATTGAATGGAAGAAGTCTACATCTCTTAATAAAACATACCCCTTACACTAATGGACTAGCAACAGACTCACCAACAACATACCTCCAATCAGACCTTCTTGCAAAGCTTAAATCTTTTTTTTAACACCCCTAAAAAGAGCACAACACATAACCCCAATTTCAACGTTATGTTCAGGGTGACTAATTCCTGTGGTTTACCTGAGACAGTCCCAATTTCAACAATAAAAAAAAAGTCTCCATCTGGAAGAACCTCTGAGTTCTGGGCAGACCAAGATCATTAGTTACTGAATTAAAGTCATCAGCTGCTAAAATCACTTAGACGTACATGACTTTAAGTCTCTCCTGCAACTAGAAACTGAAAAACATGTGAAACCATCTAGTGGATTCCTTCCCTTATAGCCTGGTTGCCATGAGATGCCCTCTCCCCCACTAAAGTCACTAGTTAGAATTTGAACAATAGCTTGTGGCTGTATTTCGCACTCCCCCTAAAATTCTAATTTCCCTCTAGGCTGAATGCTGTAGAGCCGGACTGTGTGAGTTCTCCTCTGCATTTCACAGTCACATTAAAAACATGACCTATGCGCTTCCCAAAGCAAAGATGCTGCAGATGAAGATAAGAGCTGGATTTACAGGCCTGGAGAGGAGCTGCTGGCAGACAGAGGAGCACGCTCTATTGAGAATATTTGTCAGTGTTAAAGCTCAGGGTGGAGAAAGCCTGACTCACCCCAACCATAGGAAATCACCCTTAGCTAGCCGCTGGGCCGTCCTGAAACTCCAGGCACATCCCCAGTACAATATGTGGGTTTACACTGCCTTTGAAATGGCACATTGGGGAGAATTCGGGGGCAGCGGGAGCAATCCAAGATAGAAGACCTGAGCATCCATCAGACAGAAGATGCCTGGTGTCTGTTCCCTTTGACAGTTCATGCAGATTCGTGTCAGGGGTTCCAATTTCAGTATATTCTTCTCAAAACTGGAATTTAGAGATATTAGTGGCTTACACGTTCGCCCCAGCCCTGCACAGGTTATATCACTCAAATCCACCAATTTTGTGACACAGATGGTTGAGTGTGACAGCAGTGACTTTGTTTGTGAGACTTGTATGACCCAGCACAGTATTTTCCACAGAGCCAGCCATCTGTCTGAACACGTTTATACAGTAGATATGGAGAAACTGACCGAACTTTATTTAGAGGTTCAGGATGTATGCTCTGCTTTCTTTCTGAAGGAACATGCTAAAAGGGTTCTAGAATGGGTCTTGCCAGACAATACATATAAACTCTTCACTTTTAATTTTTTTATGTGTTTCTTCCTTTCTTTGCATGGTGCTCGGGATTACACAGGGCCCTGCATGCCAGACAATCGCTTCACCCCTGAGCTGTGCTGCCGCTCCACACTGTGTAAACTTGGAAATGGTCCTCCCCTTGATCCTTTCACGGCATGACCAAAGTTCTTGGACAGACTTAACATTTTTGCTAAAACCAGCTATCAGGCCTGACCGCTTCCTTCCTCCCAGGCTCTATTTTCAGACAATGCCTCAGCACCTGTTGTTAGAATGGCCACGGAAGCAAATCTCTGTAGAACCTTCGTTTATGCTCACAGAGAGGCCGGCAAGGCCCAAGCTACAGCAGAGACTTGTTTTCCGTGTTCACTGGGGCTGATGGAGGCGCAGAAACCAGCTGGCTTCAGGAAGAATCCTTCCCTACAACCCCACATACTTTCTTGTATCTCCTCACCCAAAGCTCCGCACACCCACAGCAAGACCCCCTCTTCTTCAGGTCTGCAGCTGGTATCCAAATAATGAAGGGCATTATTATTAAGAGGACCGGCAGGGTCCTCTTAACACTAGCAATGGGGTGGGGGGTGCGTGGTGTAAGGGATGCTGCTTCGATACTTGCCTCGTGCCAAATGTGAGAATGAGAATGTGATGTAGGCACCACTCAAGATACCTTCAGTCCCGTGAGAGATAGAAAAAACACATGTGAATGTGATCCCTCTGGGAAGGGTCCACTGCGGCCTGTACACAGTGGGGGTGATGCTCCCCAGGTCCGTGGCAGGTCAAGTTCCTCTCCTCATGGCTCTGATCATTCATTCATCCTGGCCTAGGTTGTACCAAGAGATGGGAGTTTCAGGATGAAATACCTGAATATAACTGGTTAAAAGCAGTTTCTGCCTCCATTCTCTTTCCAAACCCAGACTAGTAAAGGTATTGGATAGTCTAGCCCTGAATGCCAGAGACCCATCCATCTGCTTGCCAGCCTTTTCCTAGGTTTCTGTGGTCTGTTGTCAGCAAAAATTTGGCAGAAGACTTGGGATGTGAGTTCCTCCTTTTATCTGTCTGCCCAAAGCTAAATAACAAGGGGCTTTTAAAGCCTAATGAATTCAACACTCAAAGGATAGCCTCTAGTGAAAGGAAGCTCTAATGTTTCACCTCTCAGGTTTAGGGGCAAGAGGCTATTTGAGGCTTAACACTTATTTTTTTCCATTCACATGGAAAATACTTTCAAAAGCACCAACTTGAAAACTCAGAATCCCGAAACCGATTCACCGATCTTCCTCATTCCTAAAATCTCTATCTCAAGAGTGGGTTACCTGATATTGTCCTTTGCATTTGGGGAAACAACAAAAAGAGGTATCATTTTAGGGCTTTGATGTCTGAAAGATTTGTATTTCTTAGCCACATACTTTCATGCATTTAAGTGGGCTAAACACTGCCTTTAGCATCCAAATAGGGAAAGGCGGCTGTGGCTGAAGACAGACTTACTTTAAGATACCGACACAGCATCGCAGGAGCCCACTGAAGGTGTTCCTTCACCTGACCTTAGTGAATTCCCAGATCACAGATGTATAAGAAACTTGTTAGAGCTGTGACCTATGTGCTTGCTACAGAGAATGGAAACTGTTGTCCCAAAGGCAGTTATATTGCCACTTAAACACGCCCACAGCAAAACCTGTCATAAACACCGTATCAGCACGCAGAGGCTCCAACTAAATACATCACGTGTCCTCAGCACTTCCTCTCAGTGACAAAAACACGGTCTGGGGCTCCTGTTCCTGGGCTGTCCATCTGGTTTGTCTGGCTCCCTCACAGCCACCCCTCAAGTCTACCCCGGGCATTGTGTAACTCACTTGTTTCCCTTTACTCCCGGTAAGTTGGACTTAGAAATAACTCAGACTTTCATGGGGCTATTTTAAGCATTGTTCTGTTTTTGTCATCTTATTGGCAATAAAGTATGACCTTGAGCACCTAAATTGTTTGTCTCCAAATCCTGAATTTGGCTGCTAGTCTGGATCCCCCCACAAGACGGGAGTAAGGTAATGGCATGGCATTTGGGACCTGCAGGACTCATTATGGATAGAGAGAGGGGACAGAGAGCCAAGTTATCCCAGACCCACTGATGACCATGTGAGTCAGGGCTGGCTTTTATTCCTGGCTTTTGTTGTTGTGCAAACAAAGTAAAGCAGGGTGACTAATGAGTTTTTTTTTTTTTTAATACAAATTTCCAATAGGGGAGGCTCATATGCTAAATGCCTTACAATGTCTCCTAAGGAATCAAAATAAACACCTTCTACATCAAAAAGGAAGAGGAGGAGGTGGAGAAGAAGAAGTTGTTGACCGTTCTTGTGAGACATTTTCCAACAACTCACCAAATAGTACCATGTTTCCGTTGATTTATGTTCAGGGCGATAATTTTATGGCCACTGGTTCTATCTGCAGCCACACATAGAGACAGACTTAAAAAGAGCCCTTTGTCCTTTCATAAATTGAAGGGACCTTTTCAAACATTAACTTAGTGATCTCTTCCCAACCCCCAAAGGTGGCAGGAAGGCAGCTAAGTTTTAGTATTCCGAGGAAGCATGGGAGGTAAGGGGGGTGACCTCCTTGAGGTCGGGGCTGTACCTTGAACTATGGAGGCGCGCATGTGAAGGCAATAAAGGTAATTCAAAAGGAAAGGGAATAAATTCCCAGCAGGTGCTAGAGAACAGTGCGCTCCACGTCTTAAGCTTTCAGAGCACGGCCTTCCTTTAAAGACCCTAGGTCTTAGAAGACAGACAAACAGAACAGTAGACCCCAACGACTACTTCCCATTATTGATAAGGGATTTATGTGCCCGGATATGTAACACAGCACAAACTCCAGTCATAAGTATAAACCTACAGATGGGAACAGAAAACGCACCAAGAAGAGTAGAATCTGCTCACACCAGAGAACAGGGGAATGGGGCCCCTCCAGACTTGGGCTCCCCAGCATCCTGGTCTTACGTTGCCTGGGTAACCTGAGCAGACGGCCTTCATTTCCGGTCTCTGTTTCCACCGTGGGGAATAGTGGTGAATGCCTCTTCTGGACACAACTGTGATGAGCAAAGGTGGTCACTCATGTAGGACATTCTGCATGGGGCCCAGTGCACTGGGGCAGTGGGAAGAGAAAATTACTCACAGCCTTACCATAGGAACCTCCTAATTTTCTTGTGATCCACAAAGGAAACCATGTTGGTCTCCAAAAATAAATATTTTGTTCTGATCCACGATTATGCTCTAAGTAGACACAGATAAAACCAGGAGTGACACCCATTAAAAATTTTAACTATATACCATATTCATTTATTATCAATCCACAGGATAATTTGATTGCTACATGAGCTCATAAAAGTTTTTTTTTCACCTTTACAAAATTAAAAAAAAAAAATGTGCCACAAGGATGTAATAACAACTGCTGATAAACAAGAAAAGGAATCTTAAAATTATAAATTTGCTGTAGAAAAGATAAAAAACAATTATATTTTATTTAGAATTTTACCTTGAATAAAATATTCCCCTGTATAAAAAATAAAAAAGCTTGCTCTGGTTAGAATTAGAGTATTTTTGTCTTCAAATCTGGGAATTTGCATAATATTTCCATGACAGTTTTCCTTTGTACCGCGTGGCATTCAAGCATAGCAGATTAGAAAGATTTTTTTTTTCAAGCAGTCTTAAAATGGGACAGCTGTGGAGAAATTCATTTTCTTCTCCTCCTCCTCGTCTAAGATGTGGAACAATTGCCTTTGAGGAGAGGAAAAGGAGAAAAGGAACAGGGTGGGCTGGGATGGAGGGGTAGTGGAGGGAGGGGTGGGAAGTGGGCTGGGATGGAGGTGTTGAGGAGGGAGGGGTGTATAATGGGCTAATGGGCACAGAAGGGGGCGCCAAGTGTGCTGTGAAGGAGAGCAAGATCACAAGAAGGCCTATTTATTGTAAGTGCTTCAAGATAAGGTGCAGAGGCAGACCGCCACATGGCCAGTCCTGCCCTATGTACATATTCACAAGAATAAAAAATTCCAGCTAGTTCACATTTTCTTGCCCATTGTGAGGCATCCACTCCACCATGCTGGCCTTGACCGTAGGCGACGCAGCACCTCCGCCGCCCGTGTGGCTGTTGGTCCTTGAACTTGAGGGAGTAGCCCTGGGAGATCCAGCAGGTTCTAGAGATACGCATCTCCGAGGGGCTGGAGTCCTGAGTTAAAAAGAAGCTCCTGCTCGGGAGGTGGACACAGCAATCAATCTTCTACTGTCAAGGCTTTTTCCCTTAGATTTGTCTAAGATAGGTATCAGAGAGGAAAAAATAAAATACAAACAAATAACAACACAAAGCTAAGAAATCCCAACAACCACTGGGGAGAGAGTCAAAGGCTTAGCAGCTCTTGACACGGGCCTGGGTGATATCAGATGTCTTCTTGATGACACTGGCCCGGGTCTCCCTGTCCGGCCGACTGCTGCTGGGCGTGGGGGTCACTGGGGCAGGGAGGGAGAGGTCTGTAAATGGGGGCCAGGAGCTGTTGTAAGGCATTGGACAACTCTCCTCTTTGATGGTGACCTGCAGGTCTGGCTTGTTGGTAGAGACAAAGGTCGCCATGCTGGGCAGCAGGTAGCTGTTCCGTGTCCCCATGTTGCTGAGATACTGCTTGCCTTCAATGCTCCTCTTCCGCCAGTGCGGTCTCCCCTTTCGGAGAAAACAATCAAGATACGTACATTCTTTTCCTTCCATTGAATATCATATGCTAAACAATGGCTTCTCTTACTTTTTCAAATGAATTCCCATTTGCTATTTCCCCAGAAGTCTGGCCAAGACTATTCTACAAAGACACAAAACAAGGTGGCAATTTGGCTTTTAGCTCCTATGCACTGGCTTCCTCCTGGATAGTGTCCAGTCACAACGGATGGCCAACCTAATCAGTCACCCTGAATTTTCAGAGGGGGAGAGCAAGGAGCTCAGGAACAGAGCCACTGTCCTTTTACTGCTCTGTCAATGGGTGGAGTTGAGATGTGACGTCTTTGAGCTGCAACTGGCCTCACTGGTTGCCAGGCAGAAAAGGAGTTAAGGTCCTTGAAGGAACCAGATCATAAAATATGCTAGTCTGGGTACCTACTGTCTTCTTGGAATTCCTGAATTTGGAATATTGGGATTTAAACAAACATCAGCTTCTCCTCCAACGCCTTTTTTTTTTTTTTTCACCAACAGCATTCCAGCCACTTCCTGCCTTTGTGTCAGCCCAGCCTTCAGAGGGAAGCCGGAAGCAGGTTGGTAGGAAGCAGAGACTGGACACACACCAGCCTCTCTGCAGGACCACCCTAGGAGGAGACCCATCTGCATGAAGATAACTTTGCTCAACTCTTTTTGATGCTTACTCCTGTTCACTGCTTTGAGCTGGGCAGGTCATGCTACCCCTGTTGGCAAATCAGGATGTTTACAGCCATGAGAATATCAACATTTCCTGACCCTGACTTCAATTTCCTCTTCCTGCCATGTTATAATCATCTCTCTTTCTGAGGGTCACATTTTTCTTCCCTTCTGCCCACTCTGCTCAATACGACATTTTACAATTCAGAATAGAAAGCTAAGGTAAATTTTAAGTTATGTACATTCTCTGTTCCCTGTTTCTAGTTCTGTCTTTCTCAATCTCTGTCTGTCTCAATAGCTGTCTGTCTGTCTGTCTCTCTTACACACACAAAGTTAAACCCATGCTTTAAAACGTGAGACAACAGGAAGCCAGCTTACCTCTGCATTCTCCTCATCACTGGGCACACTGTCGGTAGTTTCGCTTTCTATAGAGAAAGAAAAACAGAGAGATATTTATTCTTGTTGCTCAAGCTATTCTGGGGCTCAGGAAGTATCTTAAAAACCTATGTCACACACTTCAGAAATAAGAAACAACCCACACCCTCTCCCTCCACTCTGTAAGATCAAACCTTTCCAGTGGGACAAGCTCGGATGCATTTCCGGTCTCTGCTTGGTCCCCTAAGAGAAGTGAGACTTGGAGCTGAGTGGCAAGGCTTACTTTCCAAGGTTGTGCTGCCATCATCCCTGCATGGCTAAGGGTGGGGTGCTGTGCCCGAGGCACCTCTTCCTCCCTGAATTTCTGTCCTCAAGGTCACACGCCCTCTTCCATACAAGTTGTCACAGCCAAGTCCTGACTCTATAAAATTCTTCTAAGAAGTTTCCCTAAATCTCTCCTCGCCCTCTCCTATTATTACGACCCTCCCCTTGGATTTATAGAGATCCAGCAGATACAGCAGGTGGCCATGTTGCAGATGCCCCAAGATCCTCACTCAATGTTTACTGTCTTTGGGACCTGTCCACTTTGGTGTGGGTAGCAGCTGTGGCTTGCTTGTAGCCAGCAGAGCATAGCAATGATGTAACTTGTATCTGAGCAAGATCACATTATCACGTAAGACTGAACCTGTCTTTTATGGATACCCTCTTGCTTGCTGGCTATGTTAGGAAGTCCCAGATGGTAAATTTAAGTTAAGGGCTACTTCCAGGTAAAAACTAGCAAGAAAAATAGGGATCTCTGTTCTACACTTGCAAGGAATTCAGTTCTGGCCAATGCGGTGTGAGCCAGCGGCTCAACAGTTGAATCTCACAGGAGTTTCACCACTAACCTGATGACAGGTTAGCAAGGCTCTGCTGCAAAAGACCCAGCTACGCCATACCTGGATTCCCAGCCTGCAGACACTATGAGTCGTGTATTGTGCTAAGCCATTATGTTTACAGTCAGGCTGCTGCAGAGCATAGATCATTAATCCATTATAAACCTGATTGGACCTGCCAGCTGGGAGACACAGAGAACAGTTCTTGACCACAGTGAGCTACAGTTACCTGCCACCTTCCAGAGAGGATTAGAGGGTGAGTAAGAGAGAGAGCACTTGGGTGTCTGGAAAGGCCCAACACAGAGCTGACACACTGTGCCTGAGATTCAACAGAGTCAACTTCAGTAACTAGTAACTAATTAACATGCACATCAGCTGTATGTTAACTTATACAAATTAAAAAATAATTACACTGAACAGGGTTTTTTTTTTTCCTTTCCCAGTGTTTACTACCACCGCAAAAATTAATGCTCAGAGGGTAAAACACTTAAAATACACAGACTCTCGTAGGTCATTTTGTCTGGATCATTTATTTTACTGAGGAGAGCTAGGCATTTGTGAAGAACCATGGCAAAGCCCAGTTAGCCAGAGCCTTTGCATACAGGTCTTGTTCATCTCTTACAACAATCCTAAGTCAGAAAACAGCTGCATCATCTGGCAATATGTTCTCTAGAGCTTTCTACCCGTTACTACCCTGGATTCAATGGCTCCAGGCCAGCTAGAGCTCTTTCCACCATTCAGAGCAATGCCCAGAGACCAGGCTTCCCACATACAACAAATTGAGGAACAAATGGACAAACTGTACTCGCAGTGCATTCCTGAAACAGACAACAAGCATATGAGAGCCACAAGTCTGACCCTGGGATGTTTTTGCATGATTCTCAGCCACTGTTCTCCAGGGACTTCAGACAGGCCTGGGAGATTGCCACGGCCTAACCAAAAACCAAACATTTTGCTCCTCCAACTCCTAACGTTCTGCCCCCAAACATCCCCATATGTCCCTATATATGAGTAAGGCTATGTGTAAGGCTCGGTCTTAGCTGACCATGATCTGAGCTATAGATACAAACTGACAATAGGCAGAAGAAATGTTTTCAGGCGGAAGAAAACAAAGACCAGAAAAGGAAACCTCCCTCCAAACACAAAAGCCACATTAGCTCAGCCTCCAGAGGAGGCAGGACAGCCACTCCCAAGAAGGAAAAAAAAAAAAAAAAAAGAGGAATGGAGTTGTTGAGAACCTTGCCAAATCACGGACTGAGTCAGCAGAGGAGAGAAAACAAAACCGTCCTTTGGATCCCAGACTCACAAACAACACAAACCGCCTTCCTGCTGGCAAAACTTCAAGATCCCCTTTCTATTTTCAAGCTTAGCTTTGTTTGTGCTCTGAACCCAAAGTTTCTCTTCCTTCCACATGCATCAAGCCCCCTCTCCTCCTAATGACTCTCCATAAACCCCAACGCCTTCCGTGCCTTTCCCCTTCAAATAAAAGCAAACACAGAGACATCAGGCATGCTTTGGAAGGCAGGAGATTCAAAGAGAGAAGCTGTCGACATCAAGGTCCTAGGAGCCCACAAAGCCAAGCCACAGTTGTTGGAAGTTAGATGCCAGGTCAAACTCCTTGCTAAGACTTTGAATAGACCTGGAAGGAGATAAGAACATTAATTTCTTGTAAGTTTTCAGCTAGAGGAATAAAGTTGCAGCTAGGTCAGGGCACACATACACTGCCCTTGTGTTTTCAGCTCAATTAGAGAGAAATCGCTTCTAAATTAAGTTCAACTATCTCTGACATAGCTCTGTAGTTATGGGGACTCTCAACTTTAGGAATTAGGTGTAAGGGTTTAGGTCTTAACTGTCTCCCAAAGGCTCAAGGGGTGAGGACCTGGTCCCCAGATGTGTGAGATGTGTTGGAAACTCAAGAAGGTGAGGCCGCTGCATTCACACTCATGCAGGGGACACTGGGTCCTCTGGCTCCTCCCTGTCTTTCTTTCCCTTCCCAGCCACTATGGTCTGAGCAGCCCTGCCCCACCGTTCAGCTCCATCACAGTCCCATGATGTTCAGCTCCATCACAGTCCCAAAACAACTGGGGCCAGGTAGCTCTACACTGGAATCTCTGAAACTGTGAGCCGCGCTCACAGTCTTTTGCTGTTTTAAAGCTGGAAGCCTCGTGTGTTTTGATACAGCAAAGTGAAGTGCATTTAAGACACCAGTTTCGAACTCAGATTGTTTCTGAGAAACAGGTCTTGAGGGCCTTCAGCCTAGGAGGTGCAGGTGCCTGGGGATCCCCATCGAAAGATCCCAAAGTTTGCTTTCAGATGGTGGGTTTGGTATTTTTAAATAGATATAACTATTACTGAACAGTTGGTTCCTAAGTTCTCATTACTGTTCTCTTGGTTTTACTCCACCATAGCCATTTCCAGAATGACTTCTTACATGACAAATGAGTTCATTGTAGCTGAAGCTTCCAGATAAATGTGACTGCCAAAATGTCAGTGTGGATTATGACACTTCCCCCCTTTTATTAGTTTGGATACTTTTCAAACTGACTTCCATACAGTGGGATAACAACGATTAAAGTTACTTTGCAAGAATGGTCAGAATAAGTTGAAATATTTACAAAGTAGTAGCAGATACTCGAATAATTGATTTAACTGTTCTGGCCTGTTTTCCTATGAGCAGCAAAGAGGGAAAAAAGCAATTTGGACTGGGATCTGAAGACCTCAAGGGCTCTTCCAGACAGGCAGTTTTAGAGTCATGTCACTTTAGCCCAGTTTTTAACATCTGCCTGGAGAATACATATTGGCAAACAACCTCAAGAACATCATAGGGAAGGAGATGAACTATTTTATGGAACATATTATCATATAATGTGATACCTGATATATTTTCTGGAAGGCTCTCATTCAACAGAATACAATTAGCATTGGGTTTCTTTCCATATAATTTCCTCAATTACATTCAATAGAAGACGCAACTAATTACTCAGCAGCTCAAATCAGTGTCTACTTGGTCTCCACACCAATGCACCTTTGCCTCATTCACAACATACATATGTTTTCTGGAAGAATGGTGGCTGATTGCCTGCACAACCTCTATTCTCTTGATTATATAACCAATTAATTCTTATTATGCTTCCTATTCAAACTTGTTTTCCACCTCCTTTCTTCTGAATTACCATCATGGTTTTCTTTTACCAAGCCACCAACAATCTAGTTAAATCCTAGAAAGATGAGGAATACAGCGGGTGCAGTGGCACACGCCTGTAATCCCAGCACTCTGGGAGGCAGAGGCTGGTGGATCTCTGTGTGTTCGAGGCCAGCCTGGTCTACAAAGTGACTCCAGGACAGCCAAGGCTACACAGAGAAACCCTGTCTCAAAAAACCAAAGGGGAGAAAATATGAGGAATATGGCTACATCAAAATACAGTGAGGGCTAGGGAATGGTGGGATTCCACAGAAGTAAAATGCTTATTCTATGATGCCTGAAGCCTAAGGTTTGATTTTCAGCACTGCAAAAATAAATAAGTAAGTAAATAAACAAAATGACGATGCTTTAATGCTTCTTCAGAATGGGCTTTGAAACATACTTCCCCACTATGAAAATTTTACAAACCAAGGAATTTTTTATTATCCTAAACCATCTGATACCCTGACAGTTCAATAATACATTAGGAGACAGATCTGCAAAGCTACACGTGGTTTTGTGATACTCCTAGGATTATATTTCAGTGATCCCTAGAGGAAAAGAATATGCAACAACAGACTCCAAATACAAAATGCTGTTTTCCTACGTGAGTGAAGGTGGCTGACATTTGGATGAACAGTCCACACAAATGAACTCTGCCGTGAAAAACAACCAAACAGCCTATGTTGCTGACATACACATAAAAGGTGAGGGTGGAGAGCTACAGAATGTTGTCTACACTTCCTGACGGGAAAACATGAACTAGCCACGATCAGTAACGGAGAACTTCCTAGCATGTCTTCAAGTCTAGAAAGGGACCAGCAGTGAAATATTTTGGTTCTAGTCAATAAACACCCCTCTACAAGATTCTGGAGAATTCTGACAATGAAAACAACAGGATGAACCAGGCTGGAAAGCAGGGCTCTCACAGAAATGCATGCTGCCTGCCATTCGGGAGCTAAAACCCCTTCCCTTTAAATCTATGCAAATGTCCCAGAAAGAGGAATGAGATTTTCATTCTCCTCTCCACACATCAGCTGCTCTGAGAATGCCACTGCTAAGGCAAAATGCCACTGCAGACAGAACAGCAAGAAGAAGATCTTTCCAAAATCACCAAGAAAACCTAATACAACAGGTAGGCCAGTGTCCTTTAAGGCTCCACCCCTCAGCTCCCACCAGCTGTTTCAGCTGGGTAACTCAGATGAAAGCCGTGAATCCAACCTTAGCTCCACACATACAAGCAAAATACCCTAGTACATAATGCTTTCATTGTTCCTGCATAAACATTTTGGTCTACTTCCTCTGGTAGGTCCTTTGACAGTCAAATGAGAGTATAGTAGGTGAGCCTGTGTTTGACTGTGCTGTGTGGCTAAGACCATCAGCTACACGTGGATTTATAGATGTGTCAGTAATTTTTCATTCTTCGTTCACATTATTAGCCTTGGAGTCCTCATTTGAAGAGGAGAGAATGACATTTATTCCTTTGATAATTAAGCAAGTCAATCCATGCAAGTTCTTACAAACATGTGGCGTAATTCCCAGAGCACGGTAAACACACAACAAACAATAGAGCTACTGCGACCCCGGCAAAGACCGAAAAGAGACGGACACATATAATTGTTCAAACTGTCTGACGAATGAATGACTGACAGCAAGTTATTTGAGAGGTTATAGGATTCCTGTCACTAAGGTTAATTCTCACATTCTTTTTATGCTCCTACCACAAAGACGAGTTATGATGTACGCTAAGTAAAATAAGCTAGTCACAAAAGGTTAAAGATGCCACTCCTATACAGCCCACTGAGTAGACAGACAGCAGATAAATGGTTCTCAAGATTCAGGTAGAGGAATTAGTATACAATGGGCACAGTATTTTAGATTTAGAAGATGAAAGATTTCTGGAGAGAGATGGTAGTACACATAGCCAAACCCATTTAACAAACGGCAAATTTGTGTTTATGTATGTCACCACAACTCAACAGGAAAACCGGCAGTTAGGGGATACGAGGTTAATTTATCTGCCGATAATTTACAAACAACTGATGTTGGGATGAACTCTGACATATGAGTCTGCGTTCCCACGGTGTGGCCTTCGAAGCATGCAAACACACCTGGGGAGAAGGTGATCCATTTGCTAGAGCTGGCTGTCATTTCCCATGCCCAGGCCTTTGCTCTTTACTTCTATTAGTTGCAAGCAATAACACTGACTCAGAATTCAGATTTCCTAATTGTGATTGAGTTCCAAAAGTTTAACTGGAGATGGTCAGGGAGTGCAAGATGATGTAATGCTGGTGGCATCACTCTCTCAGTCTGTTTCTAATCCTCTGACTGTCTGCACTAATTTCTGCCATGATGGGACCAGTCCCCAGGAGAAGTAGAAAGAAGCTCAGTTGCTCAGTTCAACCAAGAGCAGCACTGTATAAAAAAGCAGGCACGCAGGAAGAAAGGAAGGAAGGAAGGAAGGAAGGAAGGAAGGAAGGAAGGAAGGAAG